GCTGTTTATATACTTATACTATTTGCTAATATACTTTTAATAACTCTTTTTCCAATAAAAATTTTTCTTATAAAATAATTTGATTTTTCAATTCTTATTCAATTTGCCAAAATTGGAATTTATGTTTGCAATTTAAAATGATATAAAATTTCCTTCCAAAAAAAAAAAACCTCCATCTTAATATTTTTTTATATTTTTGAAGAATAATTTTCTAGGCTTGCTTTAGTCTGGCACAAGGCCAAACAGAAGGAATTGCTGCATCAGTCTTCCAAGCGATTTTCTATTTTGAAAAAAACACCATTTGAAATGACTGGAACTTGAAAACTGGCCACTAAGACAGATAGGAACATATGACTAGTGCAGCCTCAAAATATACAAATGTTTAAAAAAAAAATCATTTTACTCCAAGCAAGGCAACAAAGCCACTAAAATGCCAAGAGTGAAAGGAACTGAGAAAATGTTACTGAGGAGAAAGGACAATAAAACAAATAGGATTCTATGTGAAAGAAAATGATGACTGACATTACATTTAAACTTTTGAAGTTCATAGTTGACAGGAAAGCAAAAATCCAGAAGTTTCATATGCAAGAAGTGTAGAAGAAACTGTTAGCATAGAACTATTGTTCTTCTTCTATGTGCCATATCGCTTCAGGACATGGGTCTCTACAATTTCTTAATCCTTGTGGCCTTTAGCAGTGTCTCTCCATTGCCAAGCAGCCTCCTGCTCCTGCCATCCATTTACATGAATTTGTCAGGTAGGTGGCTTGCTGCCTCCTCTTATCTCTCAATATGTCCTGTGAAGTTTTCTGAGCCTTCATTCTTCATTACATGTTTGAGAAATTTAAGTCTTCCTTATTGCTTACTCACTCTGTCTGTGTAATTCTCAGTATCCTTCTGTAGAACCACATTTCTGTTGCCTCCAGTTTTCTCTTCATTTGTGGAGAGATTTTCAGCATTCACTGCCATACAAGAGGGTTGATATAACATCCCAATTCAGTACTTTTCTAACAAAATCTTCCTGTTTCTTATTACTTTGCTTAGCTTTTTGGAAGGCATCTTTCACTAATCAAATTCAAATTTAGGTGTCACAATTTCCATCCTCTATTAATACATTTCTGAGATATTTAAATTTCTGCACTTGTTTACTGTTGACATCTCCAGGCTGTATGCCACATCTTGGGATCTTTCTCTTGCTGATAAGCATTTTTTTTTGTTTTCTTCTAGTTGATAGTCCTTTTTTCTTGCTTTCCTTTAATATATTGTCTTAAGAGGTCATTTAGTTTTCTTTCTGTATTGGCCATTAGCAGTGTTTCTCTCTTTGCCAAGGATCCCACTGCCTGTTCTACAATCCATTCACACAAACTTGTCAGGTAGATGTCTCACTGCTTTTTCCTGTCTCTTTTATTATCAATATGCACGGTGAGATTTTTCCAAGACCCCACCCCTCTTGATTACATGTTCAAGAAATTTCACCTCTTTCTGATTCTGAGTATAGGTGTTTTTTTTGTTACCATTTTCCTTAAAATTTCCTAATTACTTACTCACTCAATACATGGAATTCTCAGTATCCTTCTGTAGAACCATATTTCTATTGCTTCCTGTTTATTCATCATCTGTTGGAAGATTGTCCAGCATTCACTGCCATATGAGGATTGATATTGCAGAGTAATCCAGTACTGTTTTGTTTCTTTCTAATGTAATTTTCCCGTTTCTTAGTACTCTGTTTAAGTTTTGGAATGTACCTTTTACTAATCTAATGCATGTTCAGATTTTGGTGTCAAGTTTTCCATCCTCTGTTAAAACACTTCCTGAATACATAAACCTCCATATTTGTTTTATGCTGACATCTTCATTGTGTACATCACATCTTGGGGTTTTTCTCTTACTGATAAGCATGTATTGTCTTCTTGCAATTCATGGCTAGTCTTTTTTCTTGTTTTCCATTACTACCTTGTCTCAGAATTCCTTTAGTTTTTCTTCTGTATCAGTGTTATGTAGTGGTTTCACAGTGGAGGCTTGTATTTGTACTAAGTCGGTCCTAAAATAGGTTCAACATACAAAACGTTAGGAACTTGATATAACAGTTAATGACGCAGCAATCTAGTTGTGGTGGCTGATACTTTAATATCCGACTAACGGTCGTCCGACATCGACTGACTGACCAACTCAGCGCGACTGACTCATTACTTTTACTACTCCTACTTATTATAGGTGAGAGAGTTTATTAACTATAGAATAGGTGTGTTCCACTATAACTATTAGTCATCAGTATCATGTCATTTCTGTGTCTTATATTGTTAAGGTTATGCTAACCAATAGTAAATTCTGGCAGGGTTTCCAGCTACTTTAGGATAGCCTTGCTGTACGGATTAAATAAATCTGGGGAGAATTCACATCTTTGTCTTACACCCTTTTCTTTTTTTTTGTAGTGAATTACCCCACTTTACTAAAAAAAACTGTCACTCATATATTTTTCTTATTACTTCTGGGATCTTGTCAATATGGTTACATCTAACAATTTCAGCTGTGAAATTATGAGATATAGCTTTTAATGTCATACTGTGCTAAAATTTATGAAGGTACCATAGAGGAGAGTAATACTTATTTTGATATAATACAAAAATGTGGCAGAGGGCCAAAAGAGGAGATATGGGTAAGATTGGGTTTCAATCTGTCTTATCTTAAACTTAGCTAGCCAGAATTACTGACCCAAACATACCACAGTATTCCTTACACCAAAACAACATATTCTTACTCACCCTCCTTACTACAAACATTATAATACTTCAGTGTCTCAAAGTCCTCATTAGTTCACATATGTACAATTGGTCTGTGGTGGGTGGGGAATAAAAATAACAACTTTTAAAAATGAACTTAGACTACCGTGAGTGTCTGAGTTGGGCGTCAGGAAAAGCATCTGGCCTTGTAAAAACTTGCCTCAAATCATTGTGACAAATTCTTCATCAGGCAGGACCCACTTTTCTTTTTGTGTGTGATTATTCTTGGCCTTACCTCTGTGTGCAGATAGTAAAAAGAAATAATGTAAGATTAAAGAATCCATTAATTGCTTAAAAATTTACATTTCCAGTATGATTAACAGATATTGACTTTGAAAATTCCCAAGAGATGTGCATTTCTTAAATAGAGTTATAGAGCCTTGTTTTGCTGTCATGGCTTTTTGTGGCATAATAGTAAATCACACATGTCTTGAAAGTGCTTTCTCAGATTAAAAAAGTTTTGGTTTTTAGTTTTGGTTCTTGTCAAGCAGCACAATTTTAAAAAATAAAACTTTTGTACTATTGGTTGTTAGATATTAATTCTGCTGCCTGGAATTAAAACAGAGATGTCCACACAAAAATGCGTAACCACTAAATATAATCTTTTATCATAACAAGAAATCTGCTTATAAAATTGGGGACATTTTCTCATTCACTATTTCATTAGAAACAAAGAAAAGAGTACTGAACTATTATGTAATATCAGTCTTTCTATATGGTTGTGACTGATTGACAATCTCCTCAAAGATGAAGAGACTTGAAGTGACAAAAATGTGGTTCTACAGAAGTATGTTCAGAATACTATGGACTGAGTTTTAGAAAAAATGGAAATGAAAAGGACACTTATACGTAACATCAAGAAGAGAGAGTTGAAATTTCTAAGGCACAAAGTGAGGAAAGAAGGCTAGGAAAATTTCATATTTGCAGGATAGATTGAAGAAATGCATAACCTACTTAGAGAGCTTGAGTAAATGGATGGTAGAACAGGGTTTAGGAGAGATAACAAAAAGACAAAAATTTTTAAGAACTACAAAGGTCAGGAAATTGTGGAAAACAATGATTGCCAATGTCTTCAAGGGACACTGCACGTAGGAGAATATCTAATAGAGAAAAATAAACAGTAGAATCTCTGAAAAATAGACCAATTTATATGGCTGACAAAGGATTTTTTTATCTTATTGCCTAAACAAGTAAGATAGTTGCAAGAGAGTGATAAAAACAGCAAGGATAAGGAGAGTGGTTTGAATAACTCTTAGAATAATGATGTATACCAGTATTTCAGACAAAGAAGACAATGATATTTATTTTATCTGTGAGTGGATTTATTAAAAAAATCACACAGAAAAGTGAAATCATGACTTACAGAGACTATTTATTTTCAATAATATCAATAAATTCAATACTAAGAAGAAAAACCCCAAAAAGTGACAAAAATTTATGCTTAATCTTCGTTTTTTTTTATTCAGTGATTTTTACAGAACTTTTGTTGAAACTCTTTATTTCATCTAAAACCAAAACATCACAAATGGGAAAAAAAATATCACATTAATCCACCCAACTGTTTTCTTTCAAAGATATTTTTTTTGATAAGAATAAATTTTTTTTTCATTTACTTTTGTTTGTGTTTTTCAAATCTGAAAGAAATTTAAGCAGAATAAAGAATTATTGACTAGAAATCTAAATATGATACGTTTGTACTAAAAAAATATATTAAAAGAATTCTTTTTTTTTTCTTTTTTTTAAAACCTCAGCTCTCAGGAAATTTTGTTAATTCAAGATCATGGTCTTGGTTTTGTCATACCAAAGCAGCAAATGCAATAAGTTGATAAGGAACACTGATAGGAAAATAAGGTGAATTTAAAGGCTCAAACAATCTTGTGATATTAACAGTGCCAAAGTTTTGTCTCCCATGTCTATAATATCATTTTATTTTTATTTTATTAAATTAAATTTCAGTATTGTGAAAAAACTAACACCAAAACTAAATTAAATTTTAAAAAAATTATCCTCAGTAAATAAATAAATGAAATACCATAATCTTATTCTAACTCTACAAATAAATATTAAAACTGCAAAAGTCAGTCAAAAATTATTTTACTTTTTTAATTAGAATCAATCAGTTATGTCCATGTGTGATACATTATTAGGTGATCATATATCTTTCAATACATGATTGACAAGGCAGATTTTTTTTTTCCACAGTAGGTTGCCATTTCTTTCTGCAGTATTCCCAAGTGGACACCCATCTAGGTACTGACCAGTCTCGATATTGCTTAACTTCAGTGATCATATGGGATCTGGTATTTCAACTTAGCTCTCTACTTAACAATTCTGAACCATTATCCATTATCCCACCCATACACCCAAGCTTACAGCACCTGGTATTCCAAAGCAGTCACCCATCTAGGTACTGTTCAGGCTTGATGTTGCTTAATCATATGGGAACCAGTGTTTCAACATGATGAAGATATTTATAACTTATCTATTTTCCTATATGTCAGTACTGAACTGCTACATAATATTTAATCTCCTATCAGTCAGTTATGTGTTATGCATGATACATGATTAGGCGATCATGTATCTTTCAAAACATGATTGATGAGGCAGATTTTTTTTTCCCACAGTAGGTTGCCATTTCTTTCTGCAGTAGACCAGTTGCCATCCAAGGTTATAGAACTTGGTCTTTCCTGTTATTTACCCATAGCTGAAGAGGGAGAAGAAGAGGATTCATACCTTTCTCAAGGGTATTAGCACGTAAGTGAATGTAATGGATTCAACTGGAATTCAAACTCAGCTCTCCAATTCCTCAATCCGAGCCACTATCCATTACTTCACCATTAGAATAGAATAAGAGCATATAAACCATAATGAAATAAAAAGAAAAGTCTGAGGATTCTAAATCTAATCCTCAGTATAGTCTCCTTCCTTCTCAGTTGTGGTATTTCACTTTTGACCTTTTGAAGGTATGTATACCCATCTTGTAAAAGCTGCTTTCTTAACTATATGCTACTTGTTCCTTTCACCTCATCTTCATGGTTCTAGTTAGCTGTGTGATAGCTTGCTGTATAATTAGTAATTCTAGAGTGACCAGCTGTTAAATAAGAGAAACAAGTTGATGGTTATATGTAATTATAGGAATAAGTATTTAATTAAAACATCCATAGTAGATACCTGTCACCTGCTGATCATGTAAAAGACTGAGTAGGAAATTTTTATTACTGTCTTAATATTATTGTATTAATAATATTATTATAATATTTTATATTTAAGGTCCCTTAACTTAACATTGAGCCCTCAATTTATTTTATATTTTAAACTTTTAGCTTATATTTTACTAGCAGTAGAGCCCGGCATTGCCCGGGGATGTAACAGTAAGAGATAGATCAAGTATCGACCATCATAAAGACTGAAAAATAAAATTGACAAAGATTATTGTTTAAGGTTGATGGACACGCATGTCTTAATTAGTATTTTTTTTTGTTTTTTTTTTTGAATTGGTCAAACCCAAACTCAAACAAAAACATTGTTTTCAATCGTTATGAGTCTACCGATTGAATAGAATTTTATTATAAACAACTGTCTTGTAAATGGAAGTTTTAAAGCATTCTGAATGTAAAAGTAAAGAAAAAAGTGTGCAAGACAATAAGAAACACTACCTGCCAAAAAAAAGTGAAGTTTTGTTGAAATCGGTTGAAAAATGTAGGAAATCCAATCCCATATATAAACGAACACACACACGAACAACCTGGGTTTTATAATAAGTATAACTCGATATGAGTTGTCCCCCTTTCATTCTGGCGACAGAATCGTGTTTCCAAATTGGTTTCGTGCAAAAACAATTGAGTTTTTCCAATTTTTGGCGCTGTTAGAACCACCGCAAGTTAATTTTACATAGTCCTGAGAAGTTTTGTTGAAATCGGTTGAAAAATTTAGGAAATCCGATCCAATATATAAACGTACAGGCACACACACACACACACAATCTGCATTTTATAATAAGTAAGATTATGCACCTCCCCCCACACACAGATATATATATATATATATATTTATATTTCGACAGCAACCTTTATTTTAAAGATCTTTCATTAAATATGACAGATTAGGAAAATTTTCTTAATTTTTTATTTAGTTTTTACAGTGTTCTTAAATTTTTTATTTGAAAAAAAAGAAGTGGTTGAAAGTGCTTGGGTCAATGGACACTATGGACACATTTTGTACTCCCTCACTCCCACAAAAATGCAAAATGTAAGAATGCTGGAAAGACTAAAAAAAAAAATTAATAAAATTTTCCTTGTCCATCATATTTAACAAAAGATATATATATATATATATATATATATATATATATATATGAATATATTGTCTGGATCATCTTCAAGAAGTGAGAGCAAGATCTAAAAGGTCAACCAATCTAACAGTGATCTCATCTCACAATCCTCACACTTGCTCCATATGTGGCATCCTTTGTAAATCACTAGCGGGTCTTAAATGCCACTTAAGATTAGTGCATAAACTTTCATAACTGAATCAATAAGCTGGCAGAACCTCATAAGTTGAAATCGACGGAAGAGTCCATTATTATATATATATATATATATATATATATATATATATATATATGAATGAAATGTTGAAATCATCACTCAGTGGTGCTAAACTTAATAATGGCTTGGTGATTGCATTTAGCATCAAACAGTCGGTCGCCTCTGAATGTTAACTTCAATATTTCACTTTTATATTTAATATGCTCTATTTCTGATATTGAGCACTTTATCCCATAAATATATATACCTTAAAAATTTCTAAATATTATATATATATATATATATATATATATATATATATATATATATATATATATTTATATAGTTTCTGGTTCAATATCTCTCTGGACATTAAAGTAAGCAGCATAAAATTGAAATAAACATATACTTCCCCTGATTCTTGAACTTATATCTCATATTTTGTGAGCTTATCTTAAATAGATGATGCTTTAACTAGCTATGGAAACTTTGTGGACATGAAGGTCTCTTATCTCTTTTGCACTTTTTAAATGGCCAAAGATTGGGTTAATCTCTAATACTTTGAGAAAATAGAGCAAAAAGATTTTTTAGAAAAGTAGCAAGAACATAATAGTGTAAAAAAGCATCTAAACTTGGATATGAAGGCAGTTATCAAAAGATCTGGACAGAAACAGAGGGTCATCATTTGTGCCCATGTCTCCATGAATATTGTCTGAGGCTCATGTGTAGTTATCAGTGGGAAGATCTCAGTGTAAGTCACAATTCTTCTTGTTCTTGTCATTCCTATAATCATTTCTAGAAGAAATGTGGCATTGTTTTATTTTCTTTTATTACAAGAGTGACTCAAAGAAAACGGTGATTATTGGTTCAAATACAATTTGCAATCTTTGTGTATTATTGGTAGACTTACTAGTCAGTTATCTGTCCTTTTAGACAACCAACTTTTCATCTTTCTATTTTTTCTTTTTGACTCTAATCATTTATTGTTTATCTTTAGAATTCTCTCAAAGACTTTCATCTCCATCTATCAACAGTGTGTTTCTATCTCTTAAAGTTTAAACTGCCTTAAAATTTAATCAGTCATTTTTTTTTGCCAAAATGATAGTGATATAAGTAACATCATTTTCCTGTATATAATTAGTATCTATCCTGCATTTATAAATTTTATTTAACCCTTTAAGGCCAGAATTACCCAAACGTATCCACAAGTTTCAGTTCTCTTACAGTGTTGGAGCACCTGAATACCTGAAGATGCCCACAATTGTAGCACTATATTTATTATTTCAATATACAAAATTAACACCTGTCAATGAGAATAGCTGAAAATCTATTCGTGATATCTACAATTTCTTAAAGTTGTAGATTTCCAAAACCATATCTTATAACTAGTAGTACAAAAGGGATTAAGAAAGAAAAATTAACAAAGTTATTATGACTTTTTTAAATATAAGTTTGTAATTTCTAAGATACAAAATTATTTTTATTCTCTTTCTTTTCTCTTTATATAAATTGATAGATCTTAACAGATTGGGATAGATAAATAGATAGATAGATAGATAGATAGATAGATAGATAGATAGATAGATAGATAGATAGACATGAACAGACACTGATAGATAGATAGATAGATCTGAACAGACACTGATAGATAGATAGATAGATAGATAGATAGATGATAGATAGATCTGAACAGACACTGATTGATAGATAGATGAATAGACACTGATTGATAGATAGATGATTGATAGATCTGAACAGACATGATTGATAGATAGATAGATCTGAACAGACACTGATTGATAGATAGATAGATAGATATGGATAGATCTGAACAGACACTGATTGATAGATAGATAGATAGATCTGAACAGACACTGATTGATAGATAGATAGATAGATAGATAGATAGATCTGAACAGACACTGATTGATAGATAGATAGAGAGATAGATAGATAGATAGATAGATAGATCTGAACAGACACTGATTGATAGATAGATAGATAGATCTGAACAGACACTGATTGATAGATAGATAGATCTGAACAGACACTGATTGATAGATAGATAGATAGATAGATAGATCTGAACAGACACTGATTGATAGATAGATAGATAGATAGATAGATAGATAGATCTGAACAGACACTGATTGACAGATAGATAGATAGATAGATAGATAGATAGATAGATAGATAGATAGATAGATCTGAACAGACACTGATAGATAGATAGATAGATAGATAGATAGATAGATAGATAGATAGATATGAATAGCTTGAGATAAATATGAACAGTGGAATAGATAGTAATAAACAGATTAAGGTAGATACATAGATAAATATGAAGAAACTGAAGTAGATAGATTGATAGATATGAACAGACTAGGATAGATAGATAAATCTTAACAGACAGATATTAGTGTAATCTAACATAAGGCCAAGTTGAAGGATTGAAAGAATGTATTGCCCCAATATTTTACTTGAACCCTGATGCACTAGCACCAGTAGGAATTGCCCAACTCCTTCAACCACTGTGTCTTTCCCTTTCTTTCATATGACATTAATTAATCTGATATTAGTACAGCATGAGATCAAATGTAAAGAAATAATAAGAAAATTATATCTAATATGCTCTGTTTATCTACTCATGTTATGCTAAGTCTGGTACAATTCTATGTCTCCATTGCTCATGATTATAATTGAACTTAATAACATTTAATTTGAAATGAAAATAATGATATAATCAAGATGCTACTTTCCATACTACCTTAAACAAAAGTCTGGAAGGA